TGGGCGCTGCTTGGCTGTGCGGCTCTGGGACAGCTGGTCCCCGCTCACGCGCCTATAAAACAGTGTATTAGTCGGCCGTTGCCACGTTAACGGCCACACGCTAGCAGCTTCAGACAGCACGCACGTTATCAGCTCACGGTTCCTGTGGGTTAGGGGTCTGGCTCTGCTTAGCTGTATTTTCTTTTTTTTTAAAAAATATTTGAGAGTTGGGGGAGAGGCAGAGGGAGAGGGAGAATCTCAGACTCCACTCAGCGCGGAGCCTCACACGGGTCTCGATCTTGCGACCCTGAGATCATGACCTGAGCGGACACCAAGAGTTGGATGCTCGACCAACTGAGCCACCCAGGCGCCCCACCACTTAGCTGTATTTTCTGCTCCGTGGTCTCCCATCAGGGTACTGGTTAGGGCAGGGGTCTCAGCTTAGGTTTTTCTAAGGATTTCCTGATTAGGTCTGGGTCGCCCAGGATAATCTCCCTTAATTCTAGCTGCAGAATCCCTTTACCTTCACCACAAAATGTTGCCTCAACAAGGGAGTGACATCCCGTGTTGGTAGGTCCCCTCCCCCAGGGGAGGGATAAGACGGTGGGACCAGGGCCATCTTAGAATCCTGCCTGCAGGATGCAGCCAGCCCTTGGCCTGTTGACTTGCTTGGGGTATTGACAGAGGTTCTGCTGGATAGGATGATAATAGGAGCATTTATGGAGTGCTTGCTGTGTGCAGGCACATTTCTAGGCCCTTCCCGCCAATTACCGTCTTTAATCCTCCTGGCAATCCCGAGATTTGTCACGTGTCCTTGAGAGGGTCTGAGCAGCGTGCGTCCCGGTGGGACAGTGTGTGCTAGGCAGAGGGTAGGGGCTCGAGCTCCGGGAGGAAGGGCTAGCACAGGTGGTGGGGCCGGCGTGGCTGGAGCTCGGGGAAGGGCTGGCCCACGGGAGGGCGCCTGCGAGGTGTGCACGCCTCTTGCTGTCGTGGAAGCATCTTCAGTGCGGCCCAGCCTGGCTTCCTCCCCACCCTGCCTTTGGGTTCCGCATTCGGGCGCGGCTGGCCCCAGTGACAGGGGTTGCCCAATGCCCAGGACCCTGAGGGCCCCAGCTGGCGGGTGGCTTGTGAGACCAGGCTCTGGGGCGCCTTCTACCGGCAGGCACTTTCCTGCCAGCCTTGTGGCCTCTTCACTTTGATCTCTGGGGTATTGGTCCCACTCTCAGAAAGGGAAACTGAGTCCTCATGTGCGATCCAGAGGCTCTGCCCCCACACCCCCAGCCCGTGGAGGGGCACTGCTCCGGGGCTACAAGCAGGAGGGGCCCCAGATGCTTCCAGACCACGGAGCCCTGGCCCCGTCAAGGTCCAGCATCTGGGAACCGAGAATCCCCAATCCTGGCTTCTGAGTGTCTCAGGTCTTCCCGGAGTCTCTGTAACCCCGGCCCAGGCAGCTGGGATGTCAGGGTGTAGTCGTGGGTTGGCCGTCAGTCATCACATAACGGGCGGTAAGGGCTCTGCTGTGGCCACCCAGTGTTTGGCGGCCGAACGCCCCCCCCCAGCCAGAGATCCCCTGGAGGCTGCAAGTGGCTTTGGCAGCGTGGCCGGTGGCCGTGTGCTTTCCCGGGCCCCGCGCTGAAGCCCGCCCTGCCCCCGCCAGGTACGCCTTCACCGTGGTGGCCAGCATCACCGTGTACGGTGCCGCCTGGGTGCTGCTCCACCTGCAGGGCTCCCCGAGCTTGGGGGGGGCCCGCAGGGTCACTGACCAGCTGGGCATCCAAGACGTGCTGGTGTTCCAGGTGAGCGGGGCCTGGCTGGGACACCCCGGTGGCCCCAAACCCGGGGCCCAGGCTGAGAGCCTGGCCGCTGACCCCTCTCTCCTGCCTGGCCTCCAGAACCTCTCCCTGCTGGTGGTGGGAGTTGGAGCCGTCTCTTCGCTGCTGTTCCATCTGGGCACCAGGGAAGGGCGCCGGCCTCGGGCGGAGGAGCCGGACGAGCACAGCCCGCTGCTGGCCCCCGCCACCGCCCGGCCCCTGCTGCTCTGGAAGCACTGGCTCCGGGAGCCGGCCTTCTATCAGGTGCACTGCCGGGGGGCGGGGGCCACGGGGCTGGGGGGGTGCAGGGCTCTGGGCAGGGATGGTGGACATGGGGTGGGGGGGACCCAGTTCCTTTGCCGCCCTCCCTCCGTCACTGCTCCCCGCCCCACCGGCCTGGCGGCCGGTCACCACGAGCGGCTCACGTAGGCAGCCCCCCTGCAGCCCCCCGACCCGAGCCTTCGGTTTGCCTGCCCACAGGTGGGCTTGCTGTACATGAGCACGAGGCTTATCGTGAACCTGTCCCAGACGTACATAGCCATGTATCTCACCTACTCCCTCAACCTGCCCAAGGTGAGCCGTGGGGGGGGGGGGGGGGGGGGGGGGCGCAGGGGGCGCGGCCCCGGGGCCCCCGTGCCCACATCTGCTCTGCCCCAACAGAAGTTCATCGCCACCATTCCGCTGGTGATGTACCTCAGTGGTTTCTGCTCCTCCTTCCTCATGAAGCCAGTCAACAGGTGCATCGGGAGGAATGTAAGTGGGCAGGATGGGCGGGGGGGGGGGGCCCACAGCTGAGGACGCCCGGGACCCCGAGAACTGGTGGCTCCAGACCACGGTGTCCAGCCCGTGGCAGCCCCAGGTCTGGCTTCCGCGTGGCTCAGGGCTACAGCGCTCCAGGACTCTGTGCTGCCTGGGGCCGTGGCCGGCGGTGGCCTGGAGCCTTGGCCGGTGCAACTAAGGAACTCGACACGTCACTGCGTTTGATTTTAATGGATCTGCGTCTGGCTGCAGCCAGCTCCGTCTCCACACAGCTGCCCGGGGCTGGCTCGGCGCGCTTCGTGCCCCTAGCCCCAGAACCCTCTGAGGTCCGAGCTCGGGGTGCTGCGGCGGGGGGGGTGGGTCCAGCTGGACTCCCCCCTCCCTGCTGCGGCCGGGCATGGGGTATGGCCGGCTGAAGACCAGGGAGGGCAGGCGCCGCGCAGTGAGGTGGCTCTGATGCTGGCCGGCTCCCCCGCAGCTGACCTACTTTGTGGGCCTCCTGGTGATCCTGGCCTTTGCCGCCTGGGTGGCACTGGCAGACGGGCTGGGCATGGCCGTGTATGCGGCGGCTGTGCTGCTGGGCACGGGCTGCGCCACCATCCTCGTCACCTCGCTGGCCATGACGGCCGACCTCATCGGCCCCCACACGGTGAGGCTGAGGGGCGGGGCGGGGGCGGGGGGCCGCGGCTGGGCTGCGGGTGCTGACCTCCCTGCTCGTGTACCCAGCACAGTGGAGCCTTCGTGTACGGGGCCATGAGCTTCTCGGATAAAGTGGCCAACGGGCTGGCAGTCATGGCCATCCAGAGCCTGTATCCCTGCTCGTGAGTGCTCTTCGTTCATATACTCGTTTAGTAAGAACGTGCTGTGCGTGCTGGGTGCCAGGCACTGCCCCAGGTCTGGGGGTTCAGCCTGGACGAAGGCCAGCACACGGGTGGGGCCCGCACACTGGGGAGACCCGCTTGTTCCTGACCTGTGGCACTTGGCAGGCTGTTGTGCGCTGGGGACACAGCGCTCGGACATACTGGGGAAGTAGGAGTGGGCAGGGCCAGGGCAAAGCCAGAATCTGTGTTCGGACCCTCAGAACCCAGGGTTCCGGACCCAGATGGTTCTAGACCACTCGGTGGAGACTTGTAGAAGCCTGGGATCTGGGAACAAAAGCCTGTTCCTCTGTCCTCACTGACTTGGGGGCAATACCGGCCCCTTTAATAAGCACAGAACTGTGTCATCCAAACCAGTGGCAAGGGGGTGTAGAAAACAGCACTTATGGAGACCTGTCTGGGGCAAGAGGTCAGGGAGGGCTTCCTTGAGGAGGTAACATGGGACCGGAGACCTGTTAGGGAGTTCCAGGCAAATGGGGAGGAACCACCAGTGCGAAGGTCCTGGGGTAGGACTGGGCTTGGCGTGTTGGAGGAACAGGGGGAGGCCCGTGCGGTTGGAGCAGAGTAAGGGCAGGGAGGGGATGGGGCAGATGTGGGAGGAGGGTGTGGGTGGTTGAGGGTGACCCCCTGGTTCTGGCTACCCAACAGCTGAGCAGGAGGTCCAGGCTGCAGGGACCTGACAGATGGCAACTCACCTGCTTCTGCCCTCCCCCTAGCTTGGAGATTTGCTGCAGGGCCTGCATGGGCTTCTACCGCTGGGTGATGGTGGCCGCCACCGGCGGTGTGGGCGTGGCCGCCACCCTCTGTCTCTGCAGTCTCCTCATCTGGCCCATTCGCCTGCGGAGCTGTGAGTCCCAGCCGCGCCCCACCCCCGCGGGCCAGGGGCTGGGGGGCTGGGTCCGGGGCAGGGCCCCCCCCCACACTGATTCCACCCCACCCCTTTCTCCGGCAGGGGACCCTGGAGCCCAGCCCTGATTCCACAGGCGCCACGGTTGCCGTCCTGTGCACATGAACTCTGTACATTCCAGGCCCAGCTGAGGCCAGGAGCAGCCCTCCCTCCGTGCCGCCCCCACCTCCCACCCCTACCCCCCCCATCCTTGCCTGGCTGTGGGGGGCAGGACAGTCAGGATCCCAGACACGGAGCTCAGCCCTCTGGGATCCAGGGGTGCGCCCGGCTCACCCCTCACCCCAGGCTTGGGTGCAGTTTCCTACGTGCCGCCAGGTCCCTTGACCATGACGTGGTCAGTGAGCCTGACAGGAGCCTCAGGCGGGGGTAGGGAGGAGCAAGTCCCGTGCTCTGTGCCCAGGCCACTGCTGGCCATGAATAAAGAGCCACCCGTGGGTGAGGGCTGTGGTCTCAGCTATGTGCCCAGAGCCCAGAGTGAGGAGAGGGCAGCTGGTATGCCCTGTGTCTGTCTGCCTCTGGCCCAGTTTTGGTCACTGGCGTCTTGGTTGGGGGGGCTCCCTTGATCTGGCTGCCGGATCACCGAAGGTCCCCGGGGTCCCCAGAGGTGGACGGATGCACGGGGGTGGGGTCCCTGCAGCGGGTGGTGTCGGGCAGCATGAACTTTTATCAGTGGATGGGCGTGTAGATGGATGGGGGCCGCTGGTTGGTGGAGGGACAGTAAGGCTCCAGGTCCCATTGCCTATAGTTCTGCGCCGTGTAGCGGGGGCGCTGGGGAACCGACAGGAACGGCACGTAGTCGGAGCCCTGCCGCGGTGACTCCGCCCGGTGCCGGGGCCTGTTGACCACTGTGGGGGTCCGGGACCCAGGTCACCGCCTGTCCCCGCGCAGTTTGAACCCCAGCCAAGGTGGCCTTGCTCCCCCGATCGCCCCCCCTGCCCTGCTCACCGTATTCCTTGCCCCGGATGGGTCTGTCTGTCCACTGCGTCCTGGGGGCCCTGTACTGGGCAGGGAGGGCAGGGTCGAACCAGGCGGTCTCCCGGAGGCGCTGGGTGTAGGCTGTTGGGGGCGGTGGTAGGAAGTCATCTGTGGCCCTTGCCCCCCACCTTGGGGCAGGCCAGGCTGAGCACTCACCCAAGGGCATGCTTTGCTCCCGGTGGCCGTGACATCCATGCCATTGCGCGTAGGCCTGGCGGTACGGGCTGTCCAGGGCCCGCGGGAGCGTGCACTGGGCTTCCCGGGACTCGGAGTTGGTCAGGCCGGTGTACCACAGCTGACTGGCTGCATCGTGCCCCATGGGGGCGTACTTCCAGCGCACTGCCTGCCTGACGGCCGGTGTCCAGCGGGGCCCCTCCACAGACAGGTAGTCATCGCTGAGGGGGTGAGGGCAGGAGACAGAGGCTGAGTCTGGGGCCCACCCCTGCCTCAAATGGGCCTTTTCACCCTCTGCCCTGCACTGCCGGCATGCACACCCCCGGCCCAGCCTGGCAGAGGAGACGGGGTGCTAAGCCCTGTAGTCCCCGCCCCTCTAACCCCCCAGGACCCTCATTAAACCTTTCCCTGTGTCAGCACTTCCGGCCCATCCCCCCAGGGACAAGGGGTGGCGGGGGGGCGCCTGTGCCAGGAGGCCTCTGCTGCCAGAGCCCGCCCTAGGCTGGGCATTAGGACAGCTTCCCTAAGGAGGCAGCTGCAGCCCAGTGCAGGTGGGTGTACAAAGGCCCTGGGGCAGCAGGGGACGGCGTAAGGAGCGGGGCTGCAGTGCAGAGATGGAAGTACGCTACCAACAATCAAGGTCGAGGGGTGCCCGGTGGCGCAGTCGGGGGAGCATGTGACTCGATCTCGGGGTTGTGAGTTTGAGCCCCATGTTGGGTGTGAAGACCACTCAAAAATAAAATCTTAAAAATTGAATCTCTATGATGTGGTACCATTAAAAATAAAAGCAGGATAAAAAAAACCCAAAAGTGGAAGAAACCCCCAAAGCTCCTAAAGCTGCAGGGAAACTTGCTTGGGCAGAAACTTCAAGTGGCTGTTCCTTCCAGAAGGCCTGGTAGTAGCAGCACTGCCCGAGAAGACGACGAGCAGGCGCTTCGCCCCGGTGGTCGGGGCGCTGTTGACCACAGGCTCTTTCACCTGCGCCCTGCACAGCCCAGAGATCACGGAAAACTGGAAACCCACAGGTCTCCTTGAGGGTGGGTGAGCCTGGAAGGTTCTGGGACATCAGTCTTGGGAACCCGACACACTGAGTTTGCCATGCGCTCAAAGGGGAACTTCACGATCATCTTGGGTACCCCACCCTTGTGAAACACACACTTCTGAACCGTAACGTGCACAGGATTTGTAAAACACAATGACTATGGTCTAACGTAACGATGAGAAGTAGGTCTCTCTCGGTCAAATGTCAGTTTAACAAATGAAGAGCAGCACCTTAGAGCTGGAAAAAAACCCCAAATGCTTGCTTGGTCCATAATCCAGAGAGTTCCTGCCCCTTGAAACAGCCTGAGGAAACAGTCCATGTGAGCCACGGCCGCCGGCCCCTGTACCTGGGTTTCCAGCGTGTGCTGCACGTCCCCCTTCAGCACAGACGTGCAGTGGGGCGGCCCAAAGGCACCTGTCTTCCTACATCTGCACAGTCCCCCATTACGGTGCATTTCCCCAGTCCGCTGCAGTGAAAGGGCCCCCCAAAATCCATGCCCACCTGGTATCTCAGAACCCCACTGGGAAACAGCCTCAGCAGACACAGTCGCTAAGCTGCAGGCCTCTGGGGCTGGGCTGGCCCCCGTGCAGTGCCTGGTGTCCTTGGAAGGGGGAGCCTGGACACAGAGAAGGCTATGTGATGCCGGGGCACAGATCGGGGTGATGTGTCCTCAGAGGGCACCGAGGACTGCCAGAAACGCACTAGAACAGGGAGGCCCTGCTCCCTTAGGCCCCAGAAGGAACCAGCCCTGCTGACCCCCTGATCTCTGACTTGCGGCTTCCAGAACCGGGAGAGAGTAAATCTTTGTGGTTTCAGGCCCCAGCACCCCAGCCTGGTGGTTCTGTGAGAGGAGCCGCAGAAGACTCCTGGAGACACCTGGTCAGTTCTGCGGGCCGTGCCCATGCCCACAGCGGAACCCTGACCTGCGGTGCCCACGCACACCCTGCTCTGGCCACAGGTGGGGAGGGGAGGAGTATCAGGAGCAGGTGGGGCAGGAGATGCGGGGTGCAGCCAGGTTAGGATGGGGTGAGGGTACAGCACCAACATGCCTTGACTGAAGAGTAAATGACACACAAGAGAAGCCAAACCAAATGCCATCAGGCCTGAAACGCAGAGGTGGCGCATGGGGCCGTGGCGGGTACTCACCTGTACAGAGGTGCTGGGAAATCTGCTTCAAGGGTCCCCCGGGGGACGTAGGGCCGGGCAGCCTCCCGCCGCAGGGTCTGCATGTCTGCCTCTGGGTCCCCAGGCGCTCATGCCTGGAAGGCCTGTGGGGCCATTGTTGACAGCGACAAAGGCCACCCTTGGTGTCCAGGCGACGGTACTGGCCAGCGCTGGCCCCCATCCAGACAGCTCCCCCCTCCCCCAGCGGAGGCTGGCAGGATGGCAGGATGGCAGGATGGCAGGATGGCAGGGCCAGGCGGGGGGAGGTACGGGTGAGGCGGTGGCCATGAGCCCCGGGCTCCCTGTGCCCGACCTGGGGCTCCCACCTCCTCCTCTCTGGGCCGTGCCGTCCGGCGCACCCTTCCAGGGGCTCCAGCTGGGACCCCCCACATTCCCAGCCCTCCCTCCTCACCCCCAACCCTGTCCCTCTTCTGCTTCTGAGATACACTCAGAGCAAGACCCGCAGGCATGCATGCACAGCAGCCCGATCCGCAGTCCGCAACTGCACTGCGGACACACAGACCACGGTCCCCCACGCGCTGCCCCGGGGACGGACCCCGAGCCCACGACGCTCAGGGAGGGGACCAGACACAGAAGGCCACATGGGGTGTGAGTCCATTTATATGAAACATCCAGAACAGGCACATCCACGGACGGGAAGGGGGCTCGTGGGTGGTGGGGGGAGTGACAGCTGATGGGGACGGGGTTACAGAATGTTCTGGAGCTAGAGACGGCAGCACAACCTCATGAATGTACCAAAAAATCACTGAATTACATGCTTTAAGATGGTAAATGGTAATGCATATTTTACCACAGCAATGAAAAACGTAACAAGAACTGGAAATATGCCTGCCCCCCACTTGCACCTGCTCCTGGCTGCCTGGGCCGCGCCTCCTTCTGGCTCCGCGCCCGGCCCTGCTGCTGGGGCTCACGGCAGTCCCCTCCCTTCCCTCTCGGTGCACACCCAGGGCTCCCGCCGCCTCGGGGTAGGAGCCCAAGTCCCTGCAGCCCCTGCCCTGTCCCCTCCCCTGTGCGGCTCCAGAGCCTCCGCAGGGACTGTGCCCTCTGTCTGCAGCGCCACCCCTGCTCCCTGCTCTCCGGGCCCCTGATCACACAGCCCCATCGCTGGGTTCAAAGGTGCCCTTCCCCAGGGCCTCCTGCCCCCTGTCGCAGCCACACGTGCTTCTCACTGTCCACCACAGCCGTGGCCCATGAGGGCAGGCGCTGCGGTCTGGTGTCTCTGGTCCCCACTGCCCCGGACAGGGCTCCTCACCTGCAGGGAAGGGCCTGGGTGCTGGCCAGCCGTGGGCAGCTGCTCACTGTAGGGGGGCTCACCCCTCTTCTCAGGAAGCCCTGGGGCCCCCTGACCTGCCGGGTCCTGCTGGAGTCACCACTCCTCTGGCCTGGGCGGGCTTTCCTCTCCGGCCCCAAGACCCTCTCTCTGCTCCCCTTGATCACCTCCAAATCCCTCTCTTCTATGGTCCTCATGGCGTCCTCAGCCCCCACTCCTGCCGCCCCCCCACGTCCTCCCCTGCGGCCTCCCTGCCCCCCACGGGTCCCTGCCCATGGCCTGTGCCTCACGCCCCACTACTACTAAATCGCTTTCCCTTTCCCGCAAAAGCTACATTCAAGGATCAACAGAAACAACTCTGGCCTGTACCCCCAGCCTCCCCTGAGATGCTGGGCCAGCGAGGTCACCCACTGGCCTCAGTTTCCCCGTCTGTCAGGTGGAGGTGGCAGCAGCGCCTGCCCCACCTGAGAGCTGCTGTGCGGCCCCCTCACCCCTAACCGCCCCGCCCCCCCCCCCCCGGGTCCTCATCTGCTCCTCCGCCCCTGGCCCTCCCTGTACCCTGCCATGACCAGCCTTCTGCACACAGACTGCCACTCCCGCCCCGCTGTCCCCCTTCCAGATGGCAACCAGGGGGGTGCTCCTTCCCCACAGCAGCCGCACCCCAGCTGGGCCACAAGCACTGGCCATGCCCCCGTCCTCGGCCCCAGGGGACCCTGAACTCGGGGTCACTGGCAACTCTTGTAGACTGCCCGAGTCTTCTCCATAACCAGCTCAGCCAGGACGAGCCGCCTGCCCCCGTGTGCGACATCTAGACACCCCAGCTGGGGACCAGACAGATGGACAGCCAGCCCTAGCAGTGCATGAACCCACAACTGGTTTAATGACAACGACGCATTTCACAAGAAACAAGGCTCGCTCTGCACCAGGCGCCCCTCCGTCCCCTGCCCGTGCAGTCAGCCCCACGCAGACCCCCGCCTCGCCGTCCCAACTCCCAGGCGCGGGTCCGACAGGCTGGGGGGCACAGTCACACAGGCACAGCCAGCTCCTGGGCTCCGGCAACTGCACAAGGCGAGCACGGGGCCGAGTCAGGACTGTTTTCTTAAAAAAAACACTCAAAAATAACTTGACCAATCAGAATACACACATCTATGTACACTGTCCGTCGTCTGTCCCCGCGGCAGGCAGACGCAGGGCCTGGGGCTGGGGGGCGGGCTCCCACCGCTGCCCCTGGCTCAGGCAGGTTCAGCTGATCGGGAGCGGTAAGCGCTGCCCCCCCCCGACCCCAAAGGGTAGTGGGTGAGCCACTGCTCCTTTCCCACCAGCCTGAAACTTTTCTGGGACCAATCTACAAGAACACAAACAAACCCAAAGAAAGTCACAAGTACGTATATACACATGCACACACAAGGCCACTGGGACCTGGAGGGGCTCTGCTGGACGCCCCCCCAGCCCAGGCCTGCCCCACCCTGTCCACTCCATCAGCACCCCGGGATCCAGGAGGGGAGGAGAAGGGGGAGGACTGCTACTCAGGCCCCTGGCCACATGCAGGCCCTCCCTCCCTCCCTGTCTCCTGGTCTGGGGATGAAGCAGGAGGGGACGGGCTCGTGTGCAGCTGGGGACAGAGCAGAGTGGGTTCGGGGAAGCTCAGGAAGTTTCTGGAGGGACCTACGGGTGCCTCCTCCCCTGGCTGCCCCACGGCAATGGCACAGATGGACAGGACCCAATGGGGTGGCCTGGGGTAGGGGAAGGGGCTGGGGAGGAGGGGCCAGATGCCCACAGGACTCAGCCCTTAGGGTCGATTCTGCCCTTGGGTCACCCTGCCCAGCTGCCCAGCAAGCCACAAGCACCTGAGTCCTGCTTGGGGATAAAACAGGGCTGTGACCCCCGTCAGTAACAAGGACAGTGCAGGGTCAGGGTAAGCACAACACAGCGAGTGGGCCTGTCTCATTTTCCTCAGACAACAAGTCCATCTCAAGATGACCTCCTTCGGCCTGGACACTGCCCGGGGCCCGCTCCTGACGTGGCGCCGTGCCCCCGAGAAAGTCAGTGGCATGGCTGCCAGGGAAAGGGCGGCAGGACTGGCCGCAGAGAAACCTATCAGGTGGCTCTGTCCCTCTGATCCATGGGCTGACCTCAGCCGTCTGCCCAGTCCCATCTGACCAGCCTGGCGTCCAGCTGTCTGTCCCGTAGGCGTGAGTGGTGTTGCGGTGGTGGCAGTGAGCACGTGCTTCTGGGAAGAGCATGCAGCCCCGACGATGCAGCAGCGGACGCAGACAGAAGCAGGCTGGGTCCCAGGAGGCGTCCATCGTGCTCCGAGCAGAGCAGCCAGACAGATGGTCCCTGCTGGGGCCCCATCTCCTGCTGGGGCCCGGCCATGTCCCCGCCCCAAACACCGGCCGCCAGGGTTCGCAATCAGGCTTTAATGAGAATCTTCAGGGTCTCTCCAGGCCCAACTCCCCACCCGCCCCGGCTGTCTCCTCTAGGGACCATGTGCTGGGGGGGTAGGGTCCATGCACGCCGATGAGAGGTGGGACTCTTCTGACCCAGACGGTGAGGCCCGAGGCTTTACCGGATCCTGGTGAAGAGGTTGAGGACTGACACGGACTCCTGCAGGGCACACAGGAGGGACAGCTGAGCCTGCAGCCCCTGGGCGACCTCCCGGGAACCGCGGGCCGCTCGGTCAGGCCGTCAGGGCGCCAGGGAAGGACCTTCTGCCTGGAGGGCATGCGAGGCTTCGGGCCAGGGGAGCCTGTGGGCACCTTCCCCAGCACCCCGAGGGGTGGAGGGGAGCCAGGCTCTGAGCGCCTTGTGCCACGTGGCTGGAGCTGTGCAGCAACGCGGGAGCAGAGAGAGAGAGGGGACGGGGGCGTCCCAGAGGAGACTCCCGGGGAGACTAGAGCCAACAGGATAAAGGGGCTGGTTGGGTGACTGGGGGAGGGGAGCCCCCAGGACAGGCTGAGGGGACGCGCGTGGGGGAACATCTGGCTCTGATACCGACCCACTTTACCTTTGTCGAACGGGTTTTGCTAAAGACATTCCAGAACCTCAGCGTTTCGTCCCCAGCACCAGTGACTATGGCCTCTCCGTCAGGGGACATGGCCTGCGGAAGGAAGGAGACAGACCCCCCTTGGCCTTATGCCCTGCAGGCAGCCCTACTCTGACAGAGCTGCTGGAATGCAGCCAGGGGCAGGGGACAGGCCCCACCGAGGCCACATAACAGAGCCGCGGTTAGAGCACCCTGGTAAAAACACAAGGCCGCCCCCCACCCACTGCAAGAAGAGAGTCTGTTCTGTAAAATCAGACAAATGATAAGTAGGTTTTAAGCACAAAACATTTCACGGTCTGGTGAAACGTTCAGAGATCAGCCGAGTGCTCAGACCTGGGTTATCTACGGAGGTTTCTTTCTGTGCATGTTCAAAAACACACAGAAGAGTGGAGGAAGGGCAGGGATTTGGGACAGCAGACTCCGGGCAGTGGGACAACCTGACCGTGCAGACAGGAGCCCATCCTGCTGTCCAGGCCTGGAGGCTGCCCGGGCAGGGGGACATGGAGGCAGGGGCTGCACACAGGGGCAAAGGACAGTGGTGTTCTTCCAGACCCCGGGCGGGGCAGACTCACCAGGTACAAGACCCTGTAGGAATGCCCGGTCAGCTTTGCCACCTGGGTCAGGGAAGGGTACTTCCAGACCAGGATCTGGTTCTGTGAATAGCCGTGCGTGCTCACCTGGGGGGTGGAGAGGGCGCTGTCAGAACTCAGGCCCCCCTTCTGTGGCCCTGGGGCTCAGACGCAAGTGGTCCGATGCACCCACCCAGGAACCATCTTGGGCTCGCTGGGCAAGGCGCGGAGGCCACAGGTGACCGCCCTCACTCCCTGCGAACCTGTCTGGTGCTCCCACCACCTCCTGCCTGCAACACCCAGGCTTGTCTGCCCCCAGCTCCCCACAGAGGGACTCTGAAGGCTTTCTAGCAACGAAGCGGTAGGCATGCACACTGGCCCCGCAGGCCCTGCCCAGCCCCGCACTCACCAGTTCGTTGGCGTGCTTGGACCAGGCAAGGTTGCACACCTGGGAGCCTGTGTCGATGCACTGCAGCGGCTGCCCTGTGAGCGTGTTCCAGAAGCGGATGCAGCGGTCGGCCGTGCCGCCACCGGACGCCAGCAGCCCGTGCTGGTGTGGGGACCAGGCAATGGCCTTCACGGCCGCCAGATGCTCTGTGTACTGCTGCACAGGGCTCAGGCTTGAGTGGTTCCAGACCAGCAGCTGCGGGGGCAGCGACCGTGAGGCTCCCCGAGCTCCTCACAGTGCCCCCCACCCCGGACAACACCCGCATTGCCCTTGCCCTGTGGCGGAAGGGACGGCCCGAGGCTGGGACGGCGGGGGCCCCGGGGCACCTACCTTGTTGTCGTTGCCCCCCGAGGCGAGGAGCTGGTGGTCCGTGGACCACTTGAGCCCACACACCTCCTGCCGGTGGCCCTGCAGCCGCCGCTCAGACTGCAGGGGCGGGGTCCGGATGTCCCTCTGCAGGATCATGCGGTCCCGGCTCCCAGATGAGAGCTGGTCAGCATTCCAGGCCAGCGCCCCTGGAGGCCGGGCAGAGAGCAAGGAAGGCTGAGTCCCGGCCACCCCCCCCTTAGAGAGCACACCTGCCCCCTGGGGCCCGGGTGGCTCCTCACCGACGCGTGCCGTGTGGCCTTCCAGCATGGACAGCTTCTTCCCCGCAGCCGCATCCCAGATCTGCACAAAGCCCTTGTGCGTGCCCACAGCCACCAGGTTGCCCTAGAACCGATCACACAGGGGAGGGAGTGGGCATCAGGCCCAGGTGCAGGGCCCTCTCCCTGACTGGCCACCCTGGCTCTCCTCTCCCTCCTCGCTGCAGGGCCTCGGGGCCACTTCTCTGTGAGTTCCTTTGGGCCAAGAGGATACCCCATCTTGGGATGGGAAGATGGGTCACGCAAACATTCTAGCTGACACGCTGAACATCTGTGTGCTTCCCCGCGTTGGGCGGGAGGCAGTCCGCAGGGGACCAAGTCTGGCCCAGGGTGTCTGGGGAGGAGCCCCATCACCGTAACCCAGGCTGGGGACAGGCAGGGGTGCTGAGGCCACTCTTGCAGCTTAGACGAGTGACCTCCAGGCTGGGGTCTGAAGCCCCCTCAGCACTGGGCAGGGCCCCCACCAGTGAGACCAGGTCAGATGTCCCCCGTGCCAGCACTGCCCAGCTGGGGGATGGGGCCCGGGTACTGACCCGTTCAGACCAGCCCACGGACGTCACCGAGTCCCCTTCCACTGAGAGGTCACAGAGCCGGGTCACCTGGGAAGACGGGAAGCGGGCCGTGTGAGCCACGTGCTGCCCGGCGGGCCTCCGAGGCCCTCCCCATCTGTTCATCCCTCCATCCGCCCCGCAACCACAAGTTCACGCGCTTGGGAACACCTCAGGCCCGTGCGCACTGGTGTCAATGCTGAGACCTGGGGCAATGTGGCCAGGGTACTCAGGAGGCTGCACGCTGGGGGGGGGGGGACGGGGACGACAGACTGCACAGAGCCTGGGGGGGGGGGGGGACCAGGGCACCAGGCTGCAGGAGGAGGCCACCGGCTGCCATGTGCTGAGAGGTGGCCCTTTCTCTGAGGCGGCTTCAGTCTCCTTTGGAACCCACTTGCATTTGGTTTTATTCCCGAAAACAACCAGCCCACCTCAAAGAGCAGTGGGTTCCTGCCCTGCAGGCCCCAAACCCCAGCAGCTACTCCAAGAGATTTACTGCTCCGGTAGGTGTGAGGACCACCACCAAGGACACGGGCCTCACGGCGGTCCCCAGGCTGCGCTGGGCCTAGACCCCATCCTTCTTCTGCTAACACAGAGGAATGGGGGAGGTTGCGGCCCCCCGCAGGGAGAGGTAGGCCCTGGGGGCACGCGGTTAGTGCTGCCCTGGACCCTGGGGACCAGCTCAGTCCTGCCCGCCCACCCCAACCCCCCAGCGCACACTCGCTCAGTGGCGTCACCTGGCTGGTGCAGGCGCTCCACAGGTACACGCAGGTCCCCAGCCCCACGCTAAGCACGTTGAGGGATGACCAGTCCACCAGGTTCAGGTAGAAGTCGTCCTGCAGCTCTGGTGCATCCAGGACCTTGAAGGGGATCTTGGAGATCTTGCGGGTAGGTTTCCGTGGCGACCGCAGTAGCTTCTGACTGCAGGGAGGGAGAGCCCACCTCGTGAGCTCCTCTCCTCCTCTGCAGCTCTAGGAGCCCTAGGCTCCCCCCGTTGGGGTCTCCTGCTCATCCTGCCCCACCTTCTGTCACCCACGTGATCCCAAAGCTATGGGTGACTCAGTGGCCACCAACCTCCCTGAGCTCTGACAGCCACACAATGCCCTCTGCCCGGCACCTCCTCTAGGGAACCATCCCTGACTGCCCTGTCTGGGCCCAAGGCCACTGAGCCTGCAGTGTGTCCCCAGGGAGGCCCCCCGAGCACAGTCCTCGGACCAATCTTGGCTCCCAAGCACCGCCTGGCTGCCCGCCCTGCCCTGTCCCAGCCCCCACAGGCTCAGACTCACCTTTTGTTGCTGACTGGGGACAAGGAGTAGGGAGATACATCGTTGCCATCGTCAGGGCTGGAGCGCTTGGTGCTGAGGGAATACTGGAGGCAGGGGAGGGGGCCCACCCGCTGAGCGGAGCCTCAGCCCGAGCTCAGGGACCTCCCGCCCAGAGCCCCGGTGCCCCCGCGCTGCCGGAGGCTGGGCAGGAGTGCAGGGTGCGCGCCGAACCTGGGATGAGCTCTGGTGAGGATTCAGAGAAGCAAACCAGGCCTCGGGCCGGAGGCGTCATCTGGACAATGACTCACCCGTGTCGGCCTCCCCGCTGCCCCCCCACAGCCACCAGCCCCCTCGGCCATCTCTCAGGAGACCCAAACCAGGCTCCTTCCAACACGGCACGGGGGCTGCTGCCCCGAGGCTCAGGACCGTGTACTTGGCACCTGGCCCAGCGCTGCCTTCGTGGCAGCAGGAGAGCAAAGCCTTGGTCCGAGGCGTGGGGTTAAGCGGCTCCCAGGGTGAGCGCGGGAGGGCAAGTGGGGAGCCGAGCTGGGTGGCTCACCGTGAACAGGCCCTTCTTCTCAGGTGTGGAAGGCTGCAGCCTGCGGTCCTCTGTCTGCGGGTCCTGCACCTTCTCGATGCCGGCTCCCAGCAGCTCGTTCTTCAGCAAGGCGGAGTAGGCCAGGCCGTCTGTAGGCAGGGGGCTCCATGAGGCCAGGGAGGGGCAGGGGGCCGGGGCGCGGCGGGGGGCGGGGGCTGGCTCCTGACCTTTGCCGTTGTCTGAGGTGGCGTCCTTGGCTTTCCGGTTTTGGCTGGGAGACTTCTCATTCTCCTGTGGGAAAGGGGGGCAAAGGAGGCAGGGCCAGCTGGAGCTAGCTCCTGGCCCCCCGGCCCCGGCCCGGCCCCGCCGCCCTCTGGGCAGCCCCTCACATTGATCCTGTGGAAATTCACGCTCCAGTTGGCCCCAGCTCTGGAGGGGATGAAGCGGTCTCCATGCTTGCTGGGGGAGGACACGGGAGAGTTGGCAGGCGTCAGGGTTCGCCGCATCTCCGCCACCTGCAAGGACAGAGGGTCTGGGCTGGTGCCGCGGGGCCCTCAGTGTGCAGGGCCGAGGCCAGGCTCTCCTCTCAGACCCTGAGGCCAGGCCTGGCCTGCCTCCCTGCGCTCGGTCTCTGGCCGCTGACCCAGGGGATCAAGTTTAGAAATCCGGGTGGCAGAGGTGAGACGGTGAGTGGGCCACGTGCTCGGTGTGGCCTCCCTACTCCGGGAGGCCGGACACTGGCAAGCGACAGAGGGCACAGTACAGACCGAAGACCCTGGTCCCTGTGCATGAAGAGCTGCCGCCCCATCAGCCCCATCTCCGTCAGGCAAGGACAGAGCCCCGCGCAACTGCGAGTCACCCACCAGACCCGGGGAGCGGACGCGGGGGCACGGGTCCCGGTCAACCAGCCCACCCCCCTCGACTGTCCCAGAAATGCCCCTTGTTCTGTAAGGGATCTGCAGTGGGTTGACTTGTGTCTTCCAAAAAGCCATGTTGAAGTTCTAACCCCCAGGCGCCTGGGGCGTGACCTCATTCAGACACGGAGTCTTTGCAGGTGTCCTCCAGATAAGGCGAGGCCGCGCTGGAGCGGGACGGGCCCCAAATCCACGCCCCGTGTCCTTCTAAGAGTCAGAGACGCCGACACGCACAGAGAAGGGGACACGAAGACAAGGCAGAGACAGGGTGGTGGCTCTGAAACCAAGGACTGCCGGCCACACCAGGGGCGGGGGGAGGCAGGAGGGGCTCCCCCAAAGGGCCCCCCAGAAGGAGTGTGGCCCTGAGACACCACGGGCGGAGGCCTTGACTGCCCAGCGCAGAGCTCTGAGAGCGTGGAGCGGAGTAGCAAGCACAGCCTGTGACCGGTCAGGAGCCCGTGACACAGGCAGCATGGCTGAGGGGGGTGGCGTACAGGAAAGAGGCACCCCCAAACGCTGCTAGCTCCCAGCAGATAAGGACCGGGCCACCTCATGCCACCATCACACCTCTGCCCGGCGAGGCCAGCCCCACAGCTCTGAACCCCAGCTCGGACACATTGGGCCCTTCACCTCCCTCTCTGGAAACTGAGAGCAGCTCACCTCCCCTGCCCCCCTCCTCAGTCCTGAGTGCGGCCCCACGGGAACAGGGGTCTGGAAGCTGACGGCCCACGTGGGCTCCCGCAGCAGGAGGCACGCAGAGAGCCCGAGGAGGGGACTCCCTGGCGTGTAGCTGTGCCTCTCACCTGCCCTGCACTCCACCCGCTGACGGGTGAAGCCCAGTGGCTCACTGCAGTCCCCACCCCAGCCCCCCGCGTGGAGCGAGGACGGTGCCAGTGCGGGTGGGTGCCAGGTACTCACGCAGGGCATCGTGTTCTCGTTCTGAACAACGATCTGCCGGAGGAGGCGCCGCTCATAGTCCTGGTCCATGGCGACGCAGGGCAGGCCCAGCCCGCCGGCCAACGTCAGCCGGCCAAGGTCAGCCTGGGGCAGGAAGGGCAGGAGAGGTCAGCACCAGTAGGCAGCAGCCCCTCCACTGCCTGGTGACCACAGGGAACTCCACGGTGATGGCCAGGCGCCCCCCTCCCCCCACGTGCAGGACCTCCCTCCCAGGAACCAGGATGAGGGAAGCCACAGCGGGATGTGACGGGGAGGACAGGGGGAGCCCCGGCCTTTGTCCCGGTTAGTGCAAGTCTCTCATTTCTTCCTGGGCCGTGAGGCTCACCCTAGGACCACCCCTCCAACCCATGCACCCCATCACGTTGCCTTCCTGCTTCAGATCCTGAGGCCACAAACTGCCCCCCAAACCACATCCAGCCCTGAGATTGGAGAAAGGGGCTGAACAAGGGCTGAAGTGGCCCCAGCATGGGTTCCTCCGAGCGGGGAAGCCTCTGTGTCCTAGAGCAAGAACGGGGCCACAGTCCTCACCCTGCAGGCCCGTGTGCGCAAGCGGGTGGGGTTCAACTGCACCCCCCACTGTGCTCTACCCAGCTCAGAAGGCTTCTCTAAGAGTGAAAAGAGGGGAGGCAGCAGAAGAACATTCTACGAGGAGGAGCACATGCAGCAAGAAAGGGCTGAGCACTGTCCAGCACGAGGGGAGCGAGCGGCCACCTCGGAGAGAATGATGCTCTTCACCGCAGGGCTGACACCAGGCCCACAGCCAGTGGTTGCTTGCAGAAACCAATGGGAAACGTCTGCGGCCTTTGGGGTGCTTCCCCTTGGGGGTACCGCAGGGCCTCTGGAGGCTGAAGCAAGAATTCGGGGGACAGAGCCCGGCACAGGGCGTGCTCAGAGGACTGCAGCTTCCCAAGGCGCACCTGCTCTCACCCCAGACCTCCCGCGTGCTCACAGTCACCGTCCCTCTGCTACTCGGGCTGGAACCTGGGGCCGGGACAGGAAAATATCAACAAACTGAACAGCAAAAGCTGGCCAAAAATTAAAAGTTTACGAATTCTGAGGTGTAGCACCCCGGAGAAGTCAACGCTTGGCTTAAAAAAAAAAAAAAAAAAAATTACAGTAAGAGACACATAACAGAAACCGTAGCATCGTAACCATTTTCAGTGCACAGCTCAGCTCAGCCGCATGAAGCCCACTCACATTGTTCTGCGAACACCCTCAGCATCCGGCTCCAGAACTTTCTCATCCTCCCAAACTGAGACTCTGTCCCCATGAAGCACCGACTCCCCGCCCCATCCCCGTGAGCTCCTTGCCACACACTCGCACGCTCACGTGCACGCACAGCCATGTGACCCAGGGAGTCCACTTCTAGGTGTATGCCCTGGAGAAAGGAGGGCAGACCCGCACCGGGGCTAGTGCTCTGGTGTCCTGACTAGTGTTATTCGTAACAGCCAAAAAGCCAGAGACTCCCAAGTGTCTCCACAGATGAAGGATAAACACAGTGCAGTCCATCCGCACACACTGAAATGTGATTCAGCCTTAAAAAGAAAAGATATTCTGACACCTGGTCCAACATGGATGCGCCTGGAAGACACCGCACTCGGTGAGAGAAGCCAGACGCAGGACACATCTTGTGCGATCCTACTTGTAGGGGCTTCCCAGAGGGTCCCGGGCACAGAGACAGAGAGGAGACCAGAGAGAACGTTTGCCCTTTCAAACAAAGACACCTGAGGGCGCCTGGGTGGCTCAGTTAAGCGTCTACATTTGGCTCAGGTCATGATCCTGGGGTCGCCAGGTCGAGCCCTGCATCGGGGCTCCCTGCTCCGCGAGGAGTCTGCTTCTCCCTCTCCTTCCACCCCCTCCCTCTGCTTGTGCTCTCTCTCAAATAAGTAAACTCTTCAAACAAAGACACCCCAGGAAAGTACTGGCTTTGTGGCACCTGGGAGGGAGCAGACCTGGGGGAACACCACTCACACCTCTCCAGCTGTGGCCACATGAGGAGATATATTCAGGCCAAGCTGCCTAAGTCCTACTTTCAACATCCCCAAATGGCCTCTCTGATGGGTTCCCGGGCCTGCGGTGGAGAGACCCAGTACAGCACGTGGCTGAAGGACCAGCGTGAGCCTGCTGTTTGTTTTTTTTTTTAAAGATTTTATTTATTTATTCACGAGAGACAGAGACAGAGGCAGAGACAGAGAGAGAGAGAGAGAGAGGCAGAGGGAGAAGCAGGCTTCCCGCGGAGCAGGGAGCCTGAAGCGGGGCTCAATCCCAGGACCCTGGGATCATGACCTGAGCCGAAGGCAGACGCTTAACCATCTGAGCCACCCAGGCGCCCGAGGCTGCCGAGTTCTTGACCCTCACCTGCGACGAGGGGACATGGAGGGCTGGCCTGGTGTGGGCCAGCCCAAAGCCGGACACTCGGCCAAAGCCAAGCCAGGTGGATTAGACTCACAGGAACATGAGCACGGCCTCTAGTCACCACTGTGTGTCCCACACCACGCGCCACATTAGTGGGCGCTACCAGTGTGTGGCCTCACATGCACATGAACACGTGACGGCTGAGCCAGGGGCAGCAACACCTCAGGGTCACATGGGGGCACGGACAGGGGCTCTTGCCCACAGGCCTGACATCCTTGCCCACCTGCCCCCAAGGGGCCTCCCTCCCCTGGGCCTGGGGTTCTTCTGAGCTCCCCCAGCCCCGTTGTCCCCACGGGGCCACACAGTGGGCCTCCTGCTTTGTGAGTGAAGTGGGGCTGAGGCCCTCCATCTGGGGCAAACCTGCGGGAGCAGCAACCCCCTTCTTGGCCATCACCCCCCACCTTGCATGTACCCTGTGTGCCCTGGCAGAGGTCCCCAGACCGGTTCAGCCCATTTGTCACAGAGTGGAGTCCAGAAGTAGGGGGTGGCTGTGACCCTCAAGCCTCCCTCACTTCTCTGGGGGTGAGGCTCCTTCCCCAGCCTCTCCTTCCTGTCCAGTTCCAAGTCCACCTACTGGCCTGCCCCAGGACAAACCCCAATGTGTATCCTCACCACAGGGACCACTCCTGGGGCAGCATGGCCATGAGTTTCTGTCCAGGCTGGAAATGCCCATTCAGAAGACACGGTGTTTCCCAAGGGTGAGCCTGGGCCACATGCAAACCGGGGCTGAGCTCCAGGAGGCCAGCGTCCACTTCGAGGACTGAGAATCCCCAGTGGGATTTTTGGCAGGGAAGAAGAAGGGACACATGGCTTCGTTCTGGTCAGTTCTACCATCAGTGGGTACTCTACCAGAGTTGGGCCAGTCAGTTGCCCCCTCCACCTTGCAGACAAGGAAACAAGGGCCAGAGAACCACTAACGTCCCTCTGCCAACCGTGTGTGGAGTCAACCCTGGCCGGCCCTGGCTGGAGCCTTGTCCGCCACCCACCAGGCACTGAGCCCTGAGGGGGGCCAGGTGAAGGCCATGCTCAGTCCATATGCTCAGCGGATGCCCCTCCCCTGCTCTCCCCCAGTAGGGCTGCTCAGGGCTGGTGGGGCTCTGCTGGGGGGGTGGGGAACAAGGGGTTTCAGCAACGGGAATGGTCATACTGTGGGCTACGGGGGCCTAAACCTCTCAACCCAGGTGAGTTCGCTTCCAGTGGAAAACAGAGCCCCCCATTCACAGAGCAAGGCCACCATGCTTGTGTCCCCAGGTGACTCCCTGTGAGGCCGGCAGGGCTGATCTGTCACATGGACGGCAAGGCCCAGGAGAAACGAAAAGCGTCCACAAGACAAGACAAACCACAAACGGTTTTATTTAAAAAGACGACACAAGCGGGAAAAATACCTGCCAGCCTTGGGAGATACCGAAGCGGTGAAGGGTGTGTGCATGGCGTTCCTGAGAGCAACGCGCACCGTGGCCGGCAGCCGGAAGGTGGCAGGTCCCCAGCCCCGAGCTTCCAGGCAGCTGACACAGCCCGGCCGCCCATGCCAATGCAGAAGGCAGGCACGCGCGCTCCTTGGCAGGAGCTGAGACCCGACTTCCAAGGAAGGCAATTTGGCAGTTGCTTTCCAAATTTAAAACGCACATCCTTTCTGATGCGGTATCTCTACTTCCAAGAATTCGCCCGTAATAGTTGTGTGTGCAATACCGTGTGGACAAGGATGCTGTCTGCAGGCTGCGTGTGGGAACAGAAGGTGAGGGCTGACGTGGTGGCGTGAGGCTCCTGTCCCCACCAGGGCACAGGGCAGCTTGGGGGGGGGGGGCAGCGAGCCCCACGCACGTGAGCGCAGCTCCGGGCCAACAAGCTACTTCCGGAGGGCGGGGGAAGAACCCAGTAGCACAGGTCAGCCCAGGGGAGAGGAACTGGGGGTGGGGGACAGGACAGGAAGGAGCCTTGTTCCCCTGGGCGTGTCCGTTTGCACTTCTTGGGCTCTGAGGCCCCGGCCCCGGCCCGGGGTGGTGCACAGCTGGCAGGGCGCCCAACATTCGGTCGCCTTCACCGCACGCTTGAGAACTTCCCAATAAAGCATCCGAGAGCCTGAGCTGACTCCTCTGTCAGCGAGCAGTCTGGAGCACGGACCGTCCACAGGCCGAGCCCGAGCCCGAGCCGGGAAGGCAGCAGTGAGTGCCCCCCGAGCTCACCCAGCTGACCAGGGAGGCTGGTGTCCAGGGCAGGTGAACGGGGGCCAGAGCCCTTGGCCACTCGCTGCCACTGTCCCCTCCACTGGGTACTGTCCCTGGGAGACTTGCCCACCCACCAAGCCAACCCTTAAGAAGGGGGTCTCCTCTTCCCCCCAACGTGGCCCCCAGGATGAAGAGCCAGGAGACCCACCTCAGCCCAGTCTCAGACAAGCTTCCAACCTCCAAGCCCGCTCTTCTGGGAGACAGGCAGCACCCCCGTCCCCTCACAGGACAACAGTGAGGTTCCCTCACAGCAAAAGCTAGGGTCTGCACGGGTCAGGGGTCGCCCAAGCACCCAGGGCTGCCCTCCCGCGCACTGGCCGTGCTTCGCTCCTCACTCACCCTGGGCCCAGGGCTCTCTGAGAGCAAGCCGATCCCCACCAGCAGTCATGGAGCGGGGCCCAGCCTTCTCTGCAGCTCCCCACTAGCCCCGTGGTGCGCTGCTCA